TTTTTTTTTTTTTTTTTTTTGCAAACTGATAGTCGTGATATTGTGCAACATGTTGTTCTGTAAAGTGCAACGTGTTATTATATAAATTGCAGAACGTTGATGCATAAAGTGAACTACCGTGATTTTAGTACGTTAACATGTTTGTGTTTTTGTGTGGATAAATGATGTGACTAATGTTAGCATTATGTTTGTCCATTTATGTTCCGTGGTATTTTGTGGTACTGGTGGTAATTGTGGAGCGTGGTGATAATGTGCAACGTATTGTTCTATATAGTGCAATGTATCGTTCTATGTAGTGTAACATGTTCAACATGTCGTTATAAATAGGTGTGTTAGATAAATAGGGTACGCTATTCTATATGATCACATATAAATTATGTATTTTTTTTAATCTATATTTAGTATATATATAATTTGTTATTTGTATATAAAAATATAAATATTTTAAGTGTAGTTCATTTTTTACTTATCACTAATATGTAAATTTAAAATTTTGTTATAAATTATGTATTTGCACATGAACTAATTTAAAAACAATAGACATTGATCAAATTGCAAGTAAGCCCTTATATATTATCTAATTTTCAAATAAATAAATAGAAAAAAAAAAACAAATTACAATCTAAATTCCTAAGCCCTAAATCAACTTGCAGGAAAAAAGAAAAAGAACAAAGAAACTTGCAGGGCGGCCTTTGTTTTTAGTTCAAGACACCTTCATCCGGTCACCACCTCCGGCAACGTGGCGGCATACGGCGGACGTGTGGTTGCGGTCGACAATCGGTCGCGGTGCCGACGGAATTCTATGTGACGTCGAGATGAACGGCGGCATACCGGAGCTCTCCACTTCCGGCAGCGGGTGGCATACGGCGAACGTCGGTCGGCGGTTACGGCGGGATTCTGGGCGATGGCACCGTCGCGGATGTCCGTCTGTCAATAAGGTGCCGGCCGACGTGTGTGTGTGTGACTGTGACGGAGTGTGCAATGTGTGTGTATGGCGGATGTGTTTGTGAGACAGAGAAGAGAGAGAGACAAATTTAATAAGAGAGAGAGAGAGAGATTTAATGAGAGAGAGTAGGTGTACGGGTAGATTTAATGAGAGAGAAGTATGTTACTGCTTTACTGTTACGTGGAGGTGGGAGTTGGAGGTATGATGTGTGTGGGTCCTACAATTTTTTTAATTGTTTTCAATTACTTTATTGCCCTTAATGAAGGTATAAGTTTAGTTTTTTTTAGCCATTAGATCATCTAATCTAATGGCCATTAGGATTGGGTATATATATATATATATATATATATATATATATATATATATATATATATATATTAGGAAAAATTCAGGAGGCCTCACCTATTTAAAAAATAATATAAAATATTTTAGATAATTTTAGGTGTTTTCAACATTTTAAACATACATATCTAATGTTTTTTATACAAGATAAAAATACTGTAAATATATTAATAAATATTATATAGCTGACCAACTGTAATCAATATTAAAAATGAAATACTAAAAACTTGTTTGTTGAATTGTCAGGCAAATTATCATAGTATAAATAGATCATTCTGACCTTAAGGTTCCATTTAAGTTCGAGCAACACCAGTTTTTACTTATAGTTTTGCATGTCATTACGATAAAGAGAAGTCAACTCAGTCTTTATGATACGTCGACATGTTCTTAAAGAAATTAGATTTTAGTCGCCAAGTATATATTATTGTTTTGCGTTTAGATAATAAAAAAATGTTGAAAGTATTAATTGTGGGGACGACGAGTTTAAACTAATAATCATTATGTACAATGACATTTTTAATAATATATTATTTTTCCATGAGGAACGTTTTATAATTTGACAATTTATTTACTTATTATCACTATTTCATTTATAATATACTTAATTAATATTTCCCAAAATAAGTACAACTCGTGTATCGCACGGGTTATTTACTAGTATCAATAATGACACATGAACAAATAATAAATAAACAAATAAAAACCAATGCGGACATGGCCCTAATGTGTGAAGCCCATGTCTTTTCTGGCTCTCACTCAGCCCAGCCCACTTCACGTTCATTTCAGCGGCGCCGGCTCAGAATCTCCGCAAAATCTCTCTCAGCGACTGCAAAGTATTCAGACCAGCCAGGTGACAATCTCTCTCTCTCTCTCTCTCTCTCTCTCTCTCTCTCTCTCAATCTCTGTTTTGTTATTTTAAATTTAAATACTACAGTTTGCAATAGCCATCGCTGTAAAGTTGAAGGTTCAAATGCTTGAGTTGTAGATACAAAGATTATTGCATAATTTGTTTCCAATCTCAAGAAACCAATTTTCTCTATGTTGTTGGGACATTTTATTCGAAGCTCTAATGCAGTTTATATCTTCAGATCTTTAGACTAAGGAGGCCCAGTTAGTTTGACCCTTTTCTCTGCTCTTCCTTACGGCAGTTTCGGATAAAAGAGATTCAACAAAGTGATAAAGCAAAAGGGGTTGTGCAGATTGTGCTCATGGATTCTTCCATGGGTGATGCTTTTGCTCCCATTCAGGTCGGGTGATGTTTCTTCGAATTTCGACAGCATACGTTTTAATTAATTATTGGAGTGTGTTGAACTTAGTGTGCTAGATGCTGTTTTGATGAATAAGAACGATGTTAGTTAAGATTTAAGAGTCAAGACTTGTGTTATTGGATTAAGAGTTTAGTAGAATTGAAGTGTTGCAGTTGATGTTTGGAGCTGATTGTTTTAGTTAATTACCTAGACAAGGCATCATATCGGATTTTAAAAGTTTGATGAGCATGAGATGTGATCAGATAGATTTCGCTCGAATTGTGAATAACAACGACGAGGCTAACTGCTTTCATCCTTTGGTCTTTCTCTTCTTGTTTATTTTCTTCTTTTTGAAACAAAGGATCAACTGTGAGGTAGGCTATCGAGCCATGGCTGACTAATTTGAGTGCATTGTCCAAACCCTTGCGCACATTTTTATGGTGGATGTAGTTTGATAGTGGAGCTTACTTACAATTGTTTGCTTCTCGGTTTAGTGTAATCATGCATTTGTGACCTACTGACTGAATATTTAGCTGTCAATTTGTAAATGAAGTGTGGACTTAAGGTCTTGGCAAAGTTTTTATGATTTGGAGAAGAGCAGGTTGGGAGTTTTCTAGATGAGTGGCAAAAACTCATTGTTAAGTTTATTTCTAGAATTTGTGAACTGATGCTTCTAAGTAAATTGGGTGCCAAAGGACCTGCAAAATTTCAGTTGAACGTACTATTGGATTCTAGAGGCTTTAGGGATTACCATTTCGTAATGTAATATCTTCTCAACTGATAAATCTTATACGAAAAGATTGTTTATGTAATTACATAATTCATCTTAAAAATTAAAATAGAGGGGAAACAAGACTTAGAATGTAACAGAATTTTTGGAGAAATAAAGGTTATATACAGTAGGTGTGTACTTCATTTTTCGGACATCCTGATATGGAAAGCTATCAATTTGTCCAAGAACATCTAAGTGATTTATTAACTATATTTTCTTACCAAGATTAGATGACATGAAAAATGCCGAACATGAAGAATTGCAGTTTTAGAAATTCAATATTTGGTATTGAGAATCTCAATTATAACTGTACGCAAAAAACACAAAATGGTGTATTTGAGTTCTAAATTATCAATGCTTGCCCCACACCAGTATCTGCTCCATATTGTTATAAATACAGTATGAGTTTTCTTGTGTGTGTGCGCGTGTGTGTGTGTGTGTGTGTGTGAAAGGTGCGGGGTTCAGGGTGAATATTTCAGTGCATTTATTCTGTGATTCTGTGCCTTAAACATATAAAATGATAATTTTCTTCTATTCCATTGGCCAGGAAGTTCTACTGGAATTTCGTGCAGGAAAAATGATTATGGATGAATCAATTGTAAACCCTGATTCTCGTAAAGGACTCGTTCGTATTGGAAGGGTAGGAGTGAATTCTCTGTTTCTTGTCATGTTTTCTTACTCCAGCTTCCTCATTCTCTCCCCGAATTGGGAAGCCTGATAAATTCTATAACAGGAGATAGTGGTAATAATATTGTATTTGCCGAATTCTGTTTTTCCTCAATGTGACCTTATTCCCCTGTTTTCCTCAGGGAGAAGAAGGGCTGGTTCATTTTCAGTGGATTGACAGATCTCTAAATGTTATTGAAGATGTATCCTGGTCTAACTTTCATTAGGATGAATGCCTGCAATTGATGCTTACAGATTCCCACTGTCTCTATCTTCTGTCTGATAATATTTATTGCTAGTTGGTTATTCCTTAATCAAAGTTCAACAGGATCAAATTGTTTTTCCTGATGAAGCGGTGTTTGAAAAGGTACATTTTCTAAATGATGTTCATTTTATATGCAAGAATTTTCTTGCTTATTTAGATCTAAAATTTGCATCTAACTTTGTTGCATTGGTGTTGAATAGGTTCGTCAATCTTCTGGAAGGGTATACATTCTGAAGTTCCGTACAGATAACAGAAAGTTCTTCTTTTGGATGCAGGTTAATACATGAGTTGGGTTATTTGTTTGCACTTTTTTCTTCAGAAATTATTCAAAACTGACATTTACCACTTGAAATGCTTCTAGGAGCCCAAAGCTGAAAATGATACACAGCTATGTAACTCTGTCAATTTCCACCTGAATCAGCCTCTTGGTACAGTGATCCCCATCACACACCAATATATGCCAAAGAAACGTGTTCTATATATATATATATATATATA